AGCATCATCCTAATTCCAAAACCAGATAAAGACAAAACAAAGAAAGAAAACTATAGGCCAATATTGTTGATGAACATATATGCTAAAATCCTCAACAATATACTGGCAAGCCAGATCCAGCAACACATTAAAAAGATCATACACCATGATCAAGTGGGATTCATCCTAAGAATGCAAGGATAGTATGATATTCACAAACCTATAAACATAATACACCACATAAACAAATGAAAGACAAAAATCACATGATCATATTAATAGGTGCTGAAAATTCATTTGATAAAGTATAGTGCTCATTTATGATTAAAACAGTCAGCAAAGTAGGCATAGAAGGAGCATACCTCAACATAATGAAGGCCATATACAAGAAACCTACAGCCACCATTATACTCAAAGGGCAAAAACTAAAAGCTTTCTCCTTAAGATCAGGAACAAAATATGGGTGTCTGCTTTCTCCACTCTTATTCAACATAGTCCTGGAAGTCTGGAAGTGCTAGCCACAGAGATCAAAGCAGAAAAAGAAATAAAAGGCATCCAAATTGAAAAGGAGGAAGTAAAACTATCATTATTCACAGATGGCATGGTAATATACATAAAAAAACCTATATTATCTACAAAAAGTCTACATGACCTAATATGTCAATTGGGCAAAACAGCAGGATACAAAGTCAATATTCAGAAATTGATGACTTTTTTTTATACAAGCAATGAAATATCAGAAAGAGAAACTAGAAAAACAAATACCATTTACTATATAGCAACAAGAAAAAAAAGTACCTACAGATCTATTTAACCATGGAGGTAAAAGACCTGTGTTTGGAAAACTAGAGAACACTGGAGAAAGAAATTAAGGAGAGATACAAATAAATGGAAGCATGTACTGTGTTATTGGTTGGAAGAATTAATTAATTAAAATATCCATACTACCCAAAGCAATCTATAGATTCAATGTAATTCCTATTAAAATATCAATGGTTTACTTCACAGATCTAAAACAAATATTTCAAAAATTTATATGGAACCAAAAAAAGACCCCAAATAGCCTCAGCAATAATGAGAAAGAGGAATAAAATAGGAGGGATCACAATATCTGATATCAAACTATACTACAAAGCCACAGTAATCAAAGTAGTCTGGTACTGGCATAAGAACAGACATATAGATCAATGGAACAGAATAGTGAATCCAGAGATAAACCCATAAATCTAAGGTCAATTAATATTTGACAAAGGGGACTGTAGCATACAATGGAGCAAAACTAGCCTCTTCAATAAATAGTGTTGGGAGATCTAGACAGGTATATGCAAAAATATGAAACTAGACCACCAATCTACACGATACACCAGAATGAACTCAAGATGCATAAAAGGCTTAAATATAAGTCATGACACCATGAAATTCCTAGAGGAAAACAGGCAGTAAAATTTCAGTTATCCTAGGCAGCAATGTTTTAATTGATATATCCCCTAGGGCAAGGGAAATAAAGGAAAAAAGAAACAAATGAGACTACATCAAATTAAAAAACTTTACGGCTAAGGAAACAATCATCAAAGTGAATATGGATCGACTGTATGGGAAATCATATTTGTCAATGATACCTCAGACAAGGGTTTAATCTCCAAAATATGTAAAGAACACACACAACTCCATACCAGGAAGAGAAACATTCCAATTAAAAAATGGACAAAGGATCTGAAGAGACTTCTCCAAAGAGGACATACCGAGTGCCCAAAGACATATGAAAAGGTGCTCAACATCACTAGCCATCAAAGGGATGCGAATTGAAACCACAGTTAGATACCACCTCACACCAGTAAGAATGGCCATCATTAACAAAACAACAAACAACAAAAGCTGGTGAGGATGTGGAGAAAAGGGAACCCTAGTGCACTGTTGGTGGGAATGCAGACTGGTGCAGCCACTTTGGAAAACAGTGTGGAATTTCCTCAAAAAGCTAAAAATTGAACTGCCTTTTGACCCAGTGATTCCACTGCTGGGACTATACCATAAGAATCCCAAAGCACCAATTTGAAAGAATCTATGCATTCCAAAGTTCATAGCAGCACAATTTACAATAGTCAAGTGCTGGAAGCAACCTAAGTGCCCATCCGTAAATGAGTGGATCAAAAAACTATGGTACATTTACACAATGGAACACTCTGCAGCACAAAGAAAGCAAGCTACTACCCTTCATGACAGCATGGATGGACCTGGAGAACATTAAGTTAAGTGAAATAAGCCAGGCAGTGGAAGACAAATACCATATGATCTCACCTATAAGTGGAACCTAATCAGCAAAGCAAGCAAGCAAGGTAAATACGACCAGCAACATTGAAAGAAAGAAGAAACTGACAGTGATGGGAGGGAGGGAGGGAGGGAGGGAGTAGTAGGGAGGGGAACGGGAAGGGTCATATCAAGGAACAAGTGTGATGGACACATGAACGAAGCCAAGGTGAGGAAGGATTGAGGTGTGGAGGTTGGGGTGGGTGGGGCAGGGGAAAGGGGTTGTGGGTAAATGGAGACATGTATTTGAAAAATTTTAAAAATATAAATAAATAAATTTAAAAAAACAATCCTCTTATATACCCCAACATGGTAAACCTAAAGGACATTATAGTAAGTAAAATAAGCCACTTATTTAAGGCATCTAAAGTAGAAAGTAGAAGGATGGTTGACAAGGGCTTGGGGGAGGGTAAAATAGAGAGTTGCTGTTCAATGGGTGTAAAGTTTCAGTCATAAAAGATGAAAAAGTTGAGCAATCTACTGTACACCATGGTGCTTATAGTTAACAATATTATAATGCACACTTATAAATTGAAGGGAGTAGATCATACTATATTGTTTACCATAATAAAAACAAAAGGGTATATACTCTTAACTATTTAGAAAACAAAACAAAGAATTAGTTTTTTATGCATCCTCCATCAACCTCAGCTCAGAAGTACCAGGAATGCCTGGCTTGGCCTCTGAACATCATTCTCCCAGGTGTCTGAAATTCTTTTACTTAGCATTATTTTTTAACAAAACATTTATTGTATACTTTACATGGACCATACAAATAAGTCAGAGAGAATAACAAGGACCCATGGTGCCCAAGATTTCTAAGTACACAGGCCCAATTCAGCCATTTTACATATATTGCAAACTTGTGACTGCAACACCTTCCATCAAGAAGTGAAGTCTATTTCACCACCCCTTGAAGCTGGGCTGGCCAATTTGACTTGCTTTGGTCAATAGAATGCATGAAGATATGTTCATTATGCTCCTTCTTCTAGAACCCTACCACCACCTAACCACCACTGCAGGAACAAGCCTGAGCCATCCTGCTGAAGGGGCCAACCTAGAGCATCCAGTCCCCAGCTGGCCTCATGGTTGTCTGCAGACACCTAAGTGAGCCCAACTAAAGTACAAGAAACCTCTCCCCAAGAGTGACAAGCATCTTTTTTCTGCATTTCTAGCACCCACTTCCGCTGCTCCTGGGAGCACTGACGTTTTCCAAGGGAAAAACTATATGCCCTCTTTTCAGAGGTGTAGGTTGAATGTAGTCAACTCAACCCTTGGCTCCATAAGTAGGCATATGTCCAAGCTTTAGCCAATTAGAGCGTGCTTCCCCCTGTCATGTGACTGGTTCATGACTCCACTACAGCCAGTAAGTTCAAGTCAAAGATTTATGTGACAATTTCTGGGGAAGCAACCTCTTTTTCAATGGGAAAGTTGAAAAGACAAGAAAGTTGACCAGAGTTACTGTGCTTGTCACTATGATGCAAAATCATGCTCCTAAAAGAGGCAACAGATGGTGACAAGGTTAATGAAATAATCTGAGCCATTAGAGTAGTCAGTTGTGCTGACTACTCTGTAGAAAGCTATTGTAGACTTTCGAACTTTTGTTTTTTGGCTTTGTTGCTTAAACCAGACTGAATTGTTACTATTGATTATAAGCGAAGATATTTTAATACATTCTATATCCTTCTCTTTATGCACTGTTAAATGGTAAGCAGGAAAATTCATAGGAAGTTGAAGAACTGTTAAACTAATCTATGGTAATAGATTGTCCATGGGCCATGGGGCCACTGACTGGTAAGGAGTAGGAGGGAACCTCCTGGGGTGAGGCTCATATTTATTTTAATGAAGATATAATTTGTGTTATATATGAAATATATAGCATAATCTATATATTCTATATGATATAACTTGTGTGGGTTCACAAGTTAAACCAAAGCTTACCAAACTGTTGTCTTAAGTTCTGTGCATTTCATTGTACATAAAGTTATACCTCAGTTTTTAAAATATTTCATTCATAATTCCCTCAACCCCAACACATACCTGATGGTGAAAGTTGTAAGGTTAGATTCATCTGCTTAGGCTCTACCTGCCCATTTCCCCTCTCCCTCTGTACACCTTGGCTTTCACTGGTGCTGTTGGTGCTGTTGGGGCTTGTGGCAATTCTAAAGCAAAGCCACACATTAGTTGATCCTCTCCTTATTGAGGGGTGGGTCTCAGCCCCCCACTCGTACCTGTGAACCTGGATAGGCTTGCAACTCCTGAAACCAATCAAATCAGTGGCAGTGACATGATGAGACTTTCCAGGCTGGGTAATGAACAATGCTACCATACCTGCCTTGTTTGCTGACACTCTCGTTCTCAGCACTGTGAGCTGCTACAGAGTCCAAATGCCCAAGTCGCCACATGCAAGTAAGTGCCTGGTCAGGGGTGCCAGCAGAGCAGCTGCCAGCCTTCCCCACCCAGGTTCTAGGCATAGTGGTGAGAAGCCAACTAGCCATAGAACATACCTACTCAGCTGTCCCAGTTCCTGACAGTTCACTGACCTGTAGCCATTCAAGGTGGCCTGCCAGGCCTGCACTCATGGACCATTTCTGAATCACTGATTTGCATAATCATGAGGAAAACAAATGGTGATGGTTCTGTGCCATTAATTTTTGGGCTGATGAGTGACCTTGCCTCAGACACCTGAGATGGGACCTCTTCACTCCTGGCCTTACCTTACAACATCCACGGACACAGCCCCTGACTTGAAGAAATCGGTGGAGTCTTCCACTTCCTGGATGTTGGGGAGAATCCGTTTCCAGGCACTCTGAAAAACAGACATGGTAAGAACACAGCTCCTATGGGAGCTGGGAGCAGGTGTCAGCTTGGTGAGAGCAGCCCCTGATGTATGCACAGATGGCCTGGTATCAGGCTTGGCTCTCAGTCCACTCCAAGGTGCAGCTGGTTTGAGGAAACTGAACATCCTGGGGAAGGAGAAGCTGTCACAACCTAAGCCACTCAACTGCTGCTCTAATGCCCACCTCACCTTGACCTCCAGCTTCTCTGGGGCCCCCATGACAGTCCAGGGGTGGCAGCAGGATGGACATGCTGAGCTGAAAGCATAGCTGGGGACCAGAAAGGCAGGGCCCAACTCCTCCTGATGTGCACTACTCCTTACTCTGCCCTCACCTTGGTGCTGTTGTCTAGGTTTGGATATCCTCAGCCTGACACTGGCATGGGGATGTTGCAACATGGAAGGGAGAGCGAAGTGAGTATAGTTCTGAGGGTAAAAATGAGGCACAAGGATGGGCTCAGGAGGCCTGGGTCTTGTCCTTACTTAGAGGATAGCTGATTCTGTGCCTTCTGTCTCTGAACTGTGACCACCAGATGGCCTTGTGGGTAAGGATGGAGAAGGCAGCATCCACCCAGTCTACCAAGAAGGTTGTCTGGCAGGTCAGGATGGAACCACTGTTTCCTGGACAGGGTCCCAGCCAGACCTCTCAGGACAAGAGCCAGGAGAGGTCTCATGCTCTGTCTGAGCTCCAGGCCACGATGGTCATTGATGAGGAGTGGGCAGGCCCGATTAGGACCAAACCCCCATAGCTCAACTTCTTCCTGGCTCCCCTCTTTCTTTCTTGGAAAAGTGTCCTAGATTAATCCTTCCCACCCTCAGTGACCATCAGAAGTGACAGTGAGCCACTCGCTGTCCCCACACAACTGCTGCCTGCCCTCCACACCTCCACCTGGGCCCCCACCTCCTGGCAACAGCTTTCCCTGGACCCCCAGCTCACTTTTAAATCATGGGCATCCTTCAGAGCCAACTTCTGCATCGCCTCCTCCCTGAAACCTTCCCTGACTTCTCTGTTGGCAGCGGCTACCTTCCTCAGGCTCATGTGCCCTGTGACCACCAGTCACCTACTCGTGTGTGAGAATACCGCTGCATAGTGCCTACTAGATGCACCAGCCCTTATTGGATGTGTGCAGAACCTCTGAAAGGCAGTGTACACCAAAGCCACAGAGCCTCCTTTAGATCCTGGCTTGATTCCTGATGCAGGCAGCTTATTAGTGCCTCTGTTTCCTCATCTGTGTGAGGGGCTGATAATACTGTGGGAGGATTCCTTGCATGAGGCATGCAGAGCTCTTGGAGTACAGAAGGTGCTCAGTAAACATGGCGTTTGTGCCACATGCACAGCTTCAGCTCAGGAGGATGTGAGGCTGTGCTTGGTTGCCCATGATCTGCCTCAGTCTGCTGAATGAAGAACATGGGCTGATCCCTGCTATGGCTACCAGGTCAAACCCTCTCCACCAATACTGGGGGGCTGCGACTGCACCCACACTGGCCTCTCCTCCCTGGCCATCTCCCCTCTTCCCAGTTCACCTCCAGACCTCAAATCCTGAAAGGGCCCAGCACAGCTCTGACCAATGGGTACAATGACAGCAATGCTAATGACCTAAAGGCCATATGGCTAGCAGTGGAAGCGAGGATCCAGCCCAAGCACTGCCCTCATGAGCCATGACTCCACCTCAACCTGGATTCCTCAGCTGGGAAATGAAGGTAGTAAGAGCATCAACTTGATGGAGTTGTTTTAGTACTTAAATATTCTGCTATTCCTGAAGTGTTTGGAACTCTATGCATACAAGATTCTCTAGAAGTATCTGCTTCTTTTGATGACTGTTAGACTCATTGCCAACATTTTTTGAGATCCTAATTGGTACTACTAAATTGACCTAGTTCATATATATTCTCTCCTCTACCTTTCACAACATCCATAGAGGCAGAATTTATTCTTTCCATTTCACAGATGGGCTCAGTTATAGCAGCTTTTGACTCAGACCTAGCTCTACAAACACATGATCTCATCCCACCCTGAGTGTCACTCAGCTGTAAGCTCCAGAAGGCCAGTTTGTCTAGCTGGCCCTATAACCCCAGGACAGGTATAAGGTCAAGACCAGAAAAACTGCTCCAATAAATTATTTTAATAAATATGGGTGTTTTTCTTTCTTTCCTTCATTCCTTTCCTTCTTTCCTTTCTTTTTCTTTCTTTCTTTTTTTCTCTCTTTCTTTCCTTCAACAGACATTCAAATATTCATCTTTCAACTAAGGAAGTTTTCGATGTCCTTGTTTCTCTCCCTTGCTGAATCCTGCCACCTGCACTTGTCAACATCCACACTCACCAAGGTGGCATGCTTACTGGCCTGCCTCTTCCCATCACAGCCCTCCTCCCTGGGCTCCAGTTGCCTTGCCTTCTTGTGGCTCCCTAACACAGGGAGGGCCCTCCTCTCTTAGGGCCTCTCACTTGCTTCTTGAAGGTCCTCTCCCAGGTATTCTCTGTATACTTAGGGCTCTGCTCAAAACCTCCCTCTTCCCACCAAGGGAAGGTTTCCCTCATTATTCCTTCTAAAGTTGCAAGCCCCCACGAGTCTTGATCTTACTATGTTCTTATTTCACTTGTAGCACTTCTCCTTGTCTAAAACTATTCTTTTCATTTGCTTGACTGTTCATTATCTCTGTTTCCCATAAAAAAGGGCACTTCATGACAGCAGAGACAGTGCTTATTGTCACATTCCTAGTGTCTGTCTTAGCACCTGGCATTTGGTAGGAATTCAATTCATATTTCTTTAAGTAGTTGAATACATAATTGAGTGAGCAAATGGCTGAAAATTCATCCAACATCTGTTCAGTAAAGCTGAGTATTATCAATATCATGACTCCCAGGGAGAGGGTGATGGGTGTGGGTATCAGAAAGATCAGAAGCAATTCTGGGAAGTGGCTACCTACTAGGTTCAGGTAGAAGAGACTGATTCTCAGAGAGGGACACACTGCCTAGCATCATGAGAAGGGAGCTGGAATAGAGTCCGAGTGCCTGACTGTGACACCTGTGCTGATCACATCACAGAGCACTCCCTCTAGGGAAACTTTTCTGGAAGGTTCCAGTGCACATCTTCATAGGACCTTGAGCTTGGCACCTGACTCTTTCAACTACCCCAAGGGCTTCTGTTTCACTTGTCCACTGTTGTCAATGAGAGTCAGGGTCCCAGTGCTAGAGGAAGAAGGGGCAAGAGGACATGGAAAGCCCCAAGACAGGATAAAACAAACACTGTTCCTGGGGCCAGCACATACATCCATGGAAAATGTGCATAGCCTGACTCCAGGAAATGTGATTCACAAAACCCATGTGCAGTACACAACCTGCCCAACTAGACAGTAGCCCTAAAGTGGTCCCTCACCCGCACAGCCTCCATGGTGACCAGCTCTGCCTTAGTCAGTTCAAGGACACTGTTGTCTTCTCCCCTGAAGAAATGTGAGGCCGGGATCATCTTGCCATCCTCCAGCTGGATGTTCTTCACCAGCAGCTGCACAAGAAAGGATTTTACAGTGCCTGTGGTTGTCTTTATGGCAGGGAAGGGAGCAATTCTACAGAAAGCACAGTGCTTCATTTCCAACCCTCACAGCAAGAAAGGCACAGGGGGTCACAGATAAATGAGGAGAGGAGGTCAGAGCTAGGAGGCTGCTGTTTTAGGGACACAGAGGAAACTACAGAGCTCACACTCACATTTCCCTACCACCCACCCCACCATGCTCTTATGTTATTTGTATGTGTAATGACTTTATTATTTCTATTAAGTTGATGCCCATCCATTAGACAAAATAATTCAAGCACTACTTTGAAAGCCAATAGCTTAGCTCCCAAAAAACCCATGGGAACAAGAGGAGTAGATGTACTCATGAGTATAACAGGACATCTCTGGTAAGAGGTCTGTAAGAATGGCATTATTTATACATGTCCTAACAGAACTGGTGCCAGGTTCCCTGCCTGATTCCAGCCTGCTGCCTTTTGATGATGTTCCAGGGCCTTCTGTGAGCTAATGCCTAGCCAGGGCCAGCTGAAAATTCATGAGTGATGGTTCAACCAAGGGTCTTCACCAAGGCTGCCTCCTTTTCTTGGCTGTCCTTGTGGATAACACAGAGGATGGAGTCAGTGTCCCACCCCCACAACTTGGCCTAGCTGGCCTGGACCCCATCCTCCATCTGCTATAATAGTGGGCTATTAGTGACCTATTTCTGCACACTTATCCTCCTCTATGTAGGCTGATAAGCACAGCTCTGCCCAGAGACCCAGAGGCTATGCTTCATTGTCCCTTACCCTACCTCGAGGGAGTGAAAACTGTGGGCCAAATAATGTGATAATGCCAGTAAATAATCTGCAGACGCAAGTAACACCACAGAGCCTGCCCTGATTAAGGCTAGAACTTTCTGTCCTAGCCTGCTCCCCAAGTGGTATGTGATTTTTCAAGAGCAGACCCTTAGGTAGGGTGGGATGGGTGGGGAGAGCAAAGGGGGAAAAAATGAGACAACTGTAATAGAATAAACATGATTTAAAAATAAAAAATAATGATAAATTTAAAAAATAAAATAAAAATGAAAAACTTTTTAAAAATAAATAAATAAATAAATATCAAACAATGAATGCATAAATAAGTAGAAAACAAATCAATGTTTCTCTCTCTGTAAAAAAAAAGAAAAGAAAAGAAAAGAGCACTCCATTTATAAATTACATGCACAAGATCTCCCATCTCAGAAGCTGCTTCTAGGGAACCTGATCCAAGACAGACCTAGTCTTCCAACTGAACTTATCAATCATGAATACCTAAAACACCCAACTACTGTAAATCACAGGCACTGATGGCAGTCTCGGGCGCTCAGAGGGCAGAACACAGCAGGGTAGGTACCCAGACTGAGGTCACACCACTCCCAAGCAAAGCTCTGCCACACCCCATCTGGCCTGTACACACCAATGCAGCTAAGGATTCAACATCCACAGTCCCCTGCTGGTCCTCTTTCATTCTTGCCCCCTGGTATTTTAAGATCTCAACCTAAACAACCACTGCAAGCAGAGAGAATTAATAATAGATTACTGTGGCCAACGGGTGCACCTCAGAGCCAGAATTTGTAGGTATGAATCCCAGCTATCTCACAAACTAGGCTGGGTGATTTCTGGTAGGTTTTAAAATATCTCTGTGCTTCAGGGGGTCGCATTCAAGAGGAACCCAATGAGGCCCACTCCAAGACACATCATCATTAGAATGACAAATACCAAAGACAAACAGAGAATACTAAAGGAAACAAGGGAGAAACAGGAGTAACATACAAGGGAGCCCCAATTCGGCTAGTAGCTTAATTCTCAACAGAAACACTAAGAGCCAGAAAGGAATGGCAAGGAATATTCCAAGTCATGAAAAGCAAGGGCCTGCAGCCAAGACAGTTCTACCCAGCAAGGCTCTCAATTAAAATGGAAGGCAAAGTAAGGAATTTCCCAGACAAAAGAAGGCTAAAAGAATACATCTCCACCAAACCAGCACTACAAGATATGCTAAAGGGACTGCTTTAAGAAGATGAAGAAAAAGAGTGAGAAAGAGAGGATCACTGGTACAAAGGAAAAACGAACAAGTACCTGTTAATAATAACTTTAAATGTAACTAGATTAAATGCCCCAATCAAAAGATATAGGATACCTGAATGGATAAGAAAACAGAACCCACACTTTTTCTGCCTAAAAGAGACCCACCTCAGAACAAAGAACTTACACAGACTGAAAGTAAAGGGATGGAAAATATATTCCAAGCAAATGGACGAGGAAAAAAAAAAGCAAGGATAACAATACTTATATCAGAAAAAAAAATAGATTTCAAAACAAAGGCCATAAAAAGAGACTCAGAAGGACACTTTATAATACTCAAAGGAAGGATCCATCAAGAAGACATAAACATTGTAAACATATATGCACCTAAAATAGGAGCACCCAAATATATAAGGAAAATCATGGAGGACTTCAAGAAAGATATAGACAGCAACACACAGATAGTAGGGGATTTTAACACCCCACTGTCAAAATGGATAGATCTTCCAAACAAAACATCAACAAGTAGATTGTGGAACTGAACGACACACTAGATCAAATGGACTTAACTGACATATATAGAACCTTTCATCCCAAAAAAGCAAAATACACATCCCTTTTGGAACTTTTTCAAAGATAGACCACATGATAGGACACAAAACAAGAATGAAAAAATTCAGAAAAATAGAAATCATAACAAGCATTTTCTAGGGCCACAAGGGCTTGAAAGTAGAAACAAACTTCAAGGAAAAAACTCAAAAACATTCCAACTCATGGAGACTGAATAGCACACTATTAAACAATGGATGGGTCAATAATGAGATCAAATAAAAAATCAAAAGTTTCTGGAAACAAATGAAAATGAACAAACAACAGTCCAAAATCTATGGGACACAGTGAAGGCAGTCCTAAGAAGGAAGCTCATAGCAATACAGGCCTACCTAAAAAAGATAGAAACATTTCAAATAAATGACCAAATCCTCCAGCTAAAAGAACTGGAGAAACAACAACAAACAAAGCTCAGAGCGAGCAGAATAAAGGAAATAATCAAGATCAGCACAGAATTGAATGACATAGAGATTAAAAAAACAATTCAAAGGATCAACCAATCCAGGAGCTGGTTCTTTGAAAAGAAAAACAAAATTGACAAGCCTTTAAGCAGACTCATCAAGAAAAAAAAAAGAGGACCCAAATAAATAATATCAGAAATGAAAGAGGAGAAATAATAACTGATACCACAGAAATACAAAGGATTGTAAGAAATTACTATGAACAATTATATGCCAAGAAATTTGAAAACCTTGATGAAATGGACAAATTTCTAGAAAAATATAAACTTCCAACACTGAATGAAGAAGAAGCAGAAAGCCTGCACAGACCAATAAAAACAGGAGAAATTGAAGCAGTAATCAAAAAACTACCAGCACACAAAAACCCTGGACGAGACAGTTTCATAGGAGTATTTCACAAAACATTTGAAGAAGAACTAACCCCTGTCCTCCTCAGATAATTAAAAAAAATTCTCAAAGAGGGAAGTCTCCCAAACTCTTTTTATGGGGCCAGCATCATCCTAATCCCAAAACCAGATAAAGACATAACCAAGAAAGAAAACTTCAGGCCAATATCACTGATGAACAGAAATGCAAAAATCCTCAGCAAAATATTGGCAAACCACATCCAGTAGTACATTAAAAAGATCATTGACCATGATCAAATGGCATTCATCCTACAGATACAAGGATGGTTCGATATTCACAAATCAATAAATGTGATACATCACATAAACAAAAGTAATGACAAAAACCACATTATCATACCAATAGATGCAGAAAAAACATGTGATAAGGTATAGCAACCATTTACAATAAAAACACTCACTAGAGTGGGAATAAAGGGGGCACACATCAATGTAATAAAGGCCATATATGAAAAACAGCCAACATCATACTCAACGGGCAAAAACTAAAAGCTTTACCACTAAGATCAGGAACAAGACAAGAATGTCTGCTTTCACCACTTCTATTCAACATAGCATTGCAATTCCTAGCCACAGTGGTCAGACAAGAAAAATAAATAAAAGGCATCCAAGTTAGAAAGGAGGAAATAACTATCATTGTTTGCAGGTGACATGATAGTGTACATATAAAACCCCATAGATTTCACAAAAAAACTACTTGATCTAATAAGTGAATTTGATAAAACAGCAGGATACAAAATCAACATTCAGAAATCAAAGGCATTTTTGTATATCAAAGATGGAATATCAGAAGCAGAAATCAGGAAAAAAAATCCCTTGCTATAGCAACAAGCATAATAAAGTACCTAGGGATAAATTTAACCAAGGAGGTAAAAGAACTGTATGCAGAAAACTATATAACACTGAAGAAAGAAATTAAGAAAGACACAAAGAAATGAAACCATATACTGTGTTCATGGATTGGAATAATTAATATCATCAAAATATCCATACTACCCAAAGCAATTCATAGATTCAACTCAATCCCTATTAAAATACCAATGACATGTTTCTCAGACTTAGAACAAACATTTCAAAAATTTATATGGAACCATAAATGACCCCGAACAGCCACAGCAATTTTGAGGAAGAAAAAAAAGTAGGAGGGATCACAATAACTGATGTCAAACTATATTACAAGGCCACTGTAATCAAAACAGTCTGGTACTGGTATAAGTACAGACACATAGATCAATGGAACAGAATAGAGAGCCTAGAAAGAAACCTATGTCTCTATGGTCAATTAATATTCAACAAAGGGTGCAGAAGCATAAAATGGAGTAACAGTAGCCTCTTCAATAAATGGTGTTGGGAGAGCTGGGGAGCTACATGCAAAAAATTGAAATTTGGTCACCAACTGACACCATACACAAAAGTAAACTCAGAAGATGGATGAAAGACTTAAATGTAAGTCGTGACACCAAAAAGTCCTAGAGGAGAACCTAAGTGGGAAACTCTCAGGTATCACATGCAGTAATATTTCACCAATATGTCCCCTAGAGCAAGGGACATAAAGGAAAGAATAAACAAATGGGACTTCATCAAAATAAGAAGCTTCTGCATGACTAAAGAAAACATCAGCAAAATTGAAAGGGAGCCAACCGTATGGGAAAATATATTTGCCAATGATACCTCAGACAGGGGTTTGATCTCCAAAATATATAAAGAACTCACATGACCCCACTCCAGGAAGACAATCCAATTTAAAAATAAGGACCTGAGCAGATACTTCTCCAAGGAGGACATACACAGGGCCCAGATATATATGAAAAGTTGCCCATTATCACTAGCCATCAGAGAAATGCAAACTAAAATGACAATGATATACCACTTCACACCAGTTAAAATGGCCATCATAAACAAATAAGTAAACAACAGGTTCTGGCGAGGTTGTGCAGAAAAGGGAACCCAGTACACTGTGGGAGTGCAGACTGGTGCAGCCACTGTGAAAAACATTGTGGAATTTCCTCAAAAAGATAAAAATGGAACTGCCTTTTGACCCAGCAATTCCATTGCTGGGATTATACCCTAAGAATCCCAAAGGACCAATTCAAAAGAACCTATGCACCCCAATGTTCATTGCAGCACAATTTACAATAGCCAAGTGATGGAAGCAACCTAAAGGCCCATCAGTAAATGGATGGAACAAAAAACGATGGTACATTTATACAATGAAATACTATGCAGCAGAGAAAAAAGAGATACTACCCTTCATGACAGCATGGATGGAACTGGAGAGTATTATGCTAAGTATAATAAGCCAGGGGGTGAAAGACAAATACCATATGATCTCACCTAGGTGGAACCTAATCAGCAAAACAAGCAGGCAAGGAAAATATGACTAGCAACATTGAAAGGAAGGAAAAACCAACAGGGACAGGAGGGAGAGAGGAAGGGGGCAGAAGGGTAGCGAGGAGGGGATGGGGAAGGGTCAGGTCAAGGATCAGATGTGAAGGACACATGGACGAAGCCAAGGTGGGGAAGGATTGAAGGGGGGAGGTGGATGAGGGTGGGATGGGGAGAGTGGTGTCAGGTAAATGGAGACAAATGTATTGGAACAATAAAAAAGAAAAAATCTCTGTGCTTCAATTAACTCTTTGTAAAATGGGTAGAATGTCAACATACATTTCACTGAGTTGTTGAAAGAATTAAATTTAATGCATATCAACTATTCTAAAATTGTGCTCAGCACACAGAAAGTGCCCCATAAATATTAGTTGTTCCTGAGTTAGAGTCTGCCAATATGAACCAGAGCATGTTGTATACCTGTCATGACTCCAGAGATCTTTAAAGAGAAGGGCACTGAGGCACAGAGTTTCAATGACCACACCCAGTGGCACTTGGACACTGTAGGACTAATATAAGGCCCCAAGTTTAGGGCTCCCTGGAGAGGGTTTTTCCCTGATTCTGATACCCTCACAGGACACTTAGCTCTGGCTGGCACATCTGGTCAAAAAGAACAAGAAGCCAGTCTTCCTGGATCAGGGAAGTGGAGAGACTCAGTGGTCAGGGGCATATATGGATACCTAGAACCTGCCATTTTATCTTCTCCTGTTTCCTCCAGAGCAGCTGGGGTCTAATTGCAGGGCCAGAAACCCTGGACAGGAGTCTGTGTGGCCTTGAGACTATAGTAGAGACATGTGACACAGTGGCATTGTTACCATTCTGTTATCATTCCCGAAGAGAACCAGTCCCCCTTTGGTGACCACCCCTGGCCGATGGGCTCCTGGGATGGGCAAAGCTTCTCCCTCTGGTACCAGGCCTGCAGTGTTCAGCGTTGAGTTGAAAAACGTCACCTTCTGGTTAGAAACAGGACAGAAAAACCAGAAGGTGGTGAATGAGAAGAGGTCCCCACTGTTGGAAGCCTAGGCAGGGCTATGGATATGAAGTGGGGACAGAGGGCAGTGCAATGTAGGCCTAGTACTCTGCCTCCATGGGCACAAGCAAGGCCTGGAGAAGTCTTAGGGGCCCCTGAAGCCCTTATGCCCTGTGTTCCCCTAAGACCCTTCATATTGGCCCCCAGCCTCACGTCATAGGTAGATAGATTAGGTGAAAATCTGCTCAAAGCAACACAAAGTTAAGACACCTGCCCTAGGGATGCCACCAAGCACTGGTCACTTTGCAAAGGATCTTGTGGAGGCAAAGGCAGCAGAGGGACTCCCGGACACAATCTTGGCAGTTGCTCAGTGATCATGGGTTTGGACAGTCCAGGATTTTGTGAAGGACTTTGTGAAGGACTTTGTGAAGGGTCTTTCCATGGGCTACAAACAAAGTTCCTGCTTACAGTCTTGCCAGACCCTGATGCCTCAGAGAGCCTGTAAGCACCATCTGGCTTGCCTCCTGCCCAGCCCTTGTCCTGAGCTGCCCTCCCCCTGGAGCCAAGTAGGAGTCAGAGGTGGGTCTGGGGTCTCCATGAGCCCAGGGGTGAGAATCAAAATATTTTACAACCAATGCAGCTCAACCCCAGACTTGTCACAGGGACTGGAGGCCTTGAATTGTGCTGTCCCTTTACCCTTTAGCCACCAGATAATGGGTAGGTCTCGTGGTCCTAGGGGAGGGGCTAAAGTGGCTGTGGGCACCTGCATGAGTTTGAAGCTCAGGGCAGTGGCTATTTGCCAACCACTTTTGCAGCCAATAGGCCACACCAGTGGATATAGCTCAATTTCAGCTGCACATGAACGCACCTGCCCACATGCCTCTGTCCAGGCGCCCGGCACCTTGTCATTCCCACGGATCCAATTATGAATGGCCTCTGCTGGCTGCTCCCAGTCGATCTGTGGGACAGAATATGTCTGCTCAACCAGTTGGTCTCTACTCCCTGACCATCTGGGTAATACCTCTGCCCTCCCTTCCAGCCCTGATAATACCTGACAGTAGGTGAGGCCCAGGAAAGAAAGCTGGGAAGGCCAGCTTCTTCTTAGACAGTAATCTGAATCCCTGAACTAGGTGGGTCTCTCCTTTGTACCCATGCTCTGCATGCTCTCTGACCCTTATACTTTAGTAGGTTGAGTAAATGCAAACTGATGGTTTGGGGAAGATAATATTCCATTGTTAAGATGGACAAGGCACAAGGCCTTACACAGAGTTCCTGCACAAAGCACAGGCCCATCCCATAGCATTCTGCCAACAGCTTCTCCTGGCCTACAGGTCTCACATGGATCCCTTCATAACACCCCATAAGCCCTGAGCAGAGATACAGCCCATAAGAACTCAAGATTCTACTATTTGTGAAAGCTTTGAGGAACTGAGTTATCTCTCATTCCTCATCTTTGAGACTTCCGGCACTACAACTGATTTCACACACACACACACACACACACACACACACACACACACACACACACACAGCTCTTCTCTCTGGGGACCCTGCCTGTGCATTCCTCTTAAAGAGAAACAGGAAAAGAACAAAAAGGACCTTGTTCCTTGCCTGTCTGGGTGCCACAGGCCTTCTCCCATCTACAGCTTTGCTTATTCTTCCCCAGCCTGGGAAACCCACTCTTCTGGCCTTAAACAATTACAACCTAGTTGCCCAGACAGAACCTCAGCTTCCCCAGGATACCTTCCACACCCCAGCCCAAGCACAGACAGGCTTCAGGGTGGGCAGAGCCCTGGCACTCACCTTGGCTGTTTCCTTTTTCTGAATGCCCTCATAGGTGGCTCCTTCCTCAGGCTGAGGGAGTCTTGGGGCTTTGCCCTCAGCAATCAGCCTTACAGCCTGCACCTGGGGAGACCTAGGTCAGTTGGCATCCCCAAGCATTAGGACCTTCCCCTTACTCCCAACCCTTGATTTCACATTGAATATGGACCCTTCCCCACACTAATCATACATGTCTGGCACATAACAAGCACCTAAAAAATATCTCCTGTATGAAGAGATGGAGGTAGTCAAAATCCAATTCCAATCTGTACAAGGGACACAAAACCTCACCCTCTGTACTACACAAGGTTTTAGAAGATTATATAGAATACACACGCAAAAAATTTCCATGTTTTTATCTAAAACTTTCCCTGCCTGTTAAGGAGAATGAGTTGTGAGCCTCATGATGGTTTTGGAGGTCTGAGATTAAGCAGGGAGTAGTTTCTCTGTTAAAGAAAAGAGAAAGACTGTGGGAGAAGGAGGAAAGGGGAGCCAAGGAGCCTGAGCTTATATTGTGAGGAAGGGGTTGGAGGAAGAGCCCCCAGAGACAACGAGACTAAAAGTGATGGGAGTATGAGAATTGCCTAAAGCAAGACTGCCCAGTGGAATGTCCTGCAGTGATGAACATATTCTACATCTGTACTGTCCAATTCAGCAGCCACCAGCCACATGTAGTTCCTAGGAACTTGACTTGTAGCTAATGAGACTGAGGAACTCAATTTTTAATTAGAATTCATTTTAATTAATTTAATAGCCTCCGGTGACTATTGGACAGCGCAGCCATAAGGGATATTTTTAATTGCTTCCTGTGAGATAGGCTAGGTAACCTCTTTCTCTGTCATATCAAATCTCCAGCAAGTTTAATTTGTATGGAAAAGAATACAAAGAGGCATCTGGTTTGACACACCTGGGGGAAAAAAAAAAGGTAGCAGCAGACCAGACTGGCTGAGGGCAACAGAACACCTGACATCTGGGCAGCAGTGAGCACTTTCACATTATTGTTATGATTATTGCTACTTCCAAATAGCAAATGATCTCCTCCTGGAAATATCCTTTTGTCTGACTCCTGCCTGCTGCTGCAATGTGTGAGAAGCAGGAATGTGTCTGCCTTTGGCCATCACTGGCTGGCCTCCTCCTGCTGGACCACCACAGCCTTGCACACACACCTCCCCCTTTGGAGTCAGGTCCCACAGCGTCTGACTGCTGTGCCGAGCACAAGTGTCTCCAATTTTCAGTCATTCTTGTGTCTTCTTCTGGTAACAGAAGCCTCTCTTACAGGGAAAGCTCAGTCTACACCTGGAGGAGCCTTACTTCCTGAACAGGCCAGGGCAGGAAGCATGTGACTGAGGTTTGCCAATCAGAGTACTCCATCATCTTGGTTCGTGATTGGCTCAGCGTGGTTACATGACCCCCAAATCAGCCAATCATAGTCTTTTTTTTATTCATTAGTTCTAGGACAAAGGGTATTTCTTTTCCCTTTAAACCCAGAGGTGTATGCCTTGAGCTACCTGTGACTATCTTTTCTCCCACTTGAGGGCAGGCAACCTGAGAATGAAGCTAACCAAACAGAGAAAAGTAGAATCAGGAAGAAAAAAAACAGAAACAGAATCTTAGCAACATGGCTTAAGCCTCTGGATTCAACCATGCTTGACACCATCCCTGTCTTTAGTCTTCTCTATTAAATGAGTCAAAAATGTCCCCTTTCTGGCGAAAGCTTTTTGGGTTTGGTTCTATCAGTTGTAAGCAAGAGTCTTGCCTAATACAGTATCTTATATGTCCTATCCCTGCCTCTTTGATACCCTGAAATCAGAGCCCTCCCCTTCCAGAGTCCTGGGATTGGGGACCAGATTCCTGGCCAACTTCAGGAGCAGGCTTAGCCTAGAGAGGGTCTCCAGAACAAATAAACCCTGTGGGTACATGTGGTAGTGTCATCTCCCAGCCCTTACCATCCCTTTGATGCCTTCGGGGAAGAGGAAGCGGTTATACAAAGTGCTCACGGTGTCATCTGGGAGGATCTCACATTCTTTCTGGAGTAGAATGTCCCCTGTGTCCAGGCCATCATCTGCCCAGAAAATGGTAAATCCCCCTTTTTTATCTCCATGAATGAGGGTCCTAGGAAAAAGAAGAATGAAACCTTGAGTTTAGCAGGAAGGAAAGCAGAGGATGCCCTGGGAACAGCCCTTATGGGCCCTCCCATCCTCCAGCACACACACTTGTTTCCCTCAAGCCCTGGGAGGATGGAAGTCTGCTCTGGCAAGAGTGAGGAGAAAAAAATGGTATTTATTGATACCAACCATGTGCCAGGCATTGTGGTAAAAGCCCAATATGCCTCATATAACTTAATCTTCCCAACTGTTATAACAGGCATTGCATGCCCCCTTTATAGATGAGGAAATTGAGGTCCAGAGAAGTGAAGAGACATGACTGGAGATCTTGCTGTGTGAATTCCAACCAGATCAATTTAACTGCAAACGCACTCTGTTTCCCAGCTCAAATGTCTCCGTACACTGACTGCTCCTCTACACTGCCCCACCCACCAGACACATCACGCATTTACTATCTTCTTAGTACTTCTCATCATCCATCTTTCTCTCTTTCCAAGTGGGGTGCTACTATGAGTATGGCAGTGGGTGGATTTTAGAGGAGACCTCTAGGAACATCAGCTGGGTTGGTGACCCTCATAGCCTCCCGGGTGAGGTTGCCAGTAAACCTCTACACAGTTGTTTCTGAAACCCCTGTTCACTTTACAGTTTACTGTAGGAATGCAGAGTGCTTAGCAATGACAATCCCCAGTTCTCTTGAGCATTCTTCCTGACTGATAACACTTCACCAATCTGGTATATGGATGCCACTGGCAGCACAGGACAGGCACCTGCATGATGCCTGCTCTGTAGCCCCAAGGAAAACTCCAGGTTAAGGGAAAATAGTGATTCAAGTAGAGGGGGATGTTTTTGCCATCTTACCAGTTGATGGCCGAGGCCCCTCTATGCCGGGGGAGCAGACTTGGGTGGTAGATAATGGAGCCATGGCGGGGGGCATTGATGACCTCCATGGGGATGAACTGACTGCAAAAGGGCAGGACATTGAGCTCAGCACCCAAAGCCTGGTATTTTGCCATCACGTCAGGCAGAGCCTGTTTTCCCATCCTCCAGCGGGGGAACTTAAACACTGGCACTCCATCCTTCTCAGCCTCCAAACCTGTGGGTTAGTGAGTGAGTGAATAAGAAGCCAGCCCTTTTCACACATACCTACACATGACATCTCCGCCTTCCCAGCAAAGTTAATCATGCATATTCTCTCCTGTCCCGTCCCTTTCAGCCATCTCCACTGCCCAGCCAGGCTTGACCCAGCAGTACAGAGGGGACAACACTAGCCAAGGGTGAGGTTTCTGTCTGGGCTGACTTCTGTTGAAAACCAATATATGACATTTGAGCTCCTTCTTCTCCCAGACTCCTGCCTGACCCCCTAAGGCTGACCTCTTGCCCTCATGCCACTCCTGACACCTTCACCATGCCCATCACCAAGTTACTGTTTCTCCACCCTTCTCCTCTCTCTGGGTTGAGGTCTGGGACCCAGAAAACTGCAAGAGGACTGCCAATATGGGCATTGAAGGGAGAGAGTGTAAGAAAGGAGGAGGGGCTTGCCCCTTTCTGTGAGTTCGTGTCTTGTGAGCATCACCCAGCCTCACTTCTTCACCTCAGAGAAGCAGCTGAGTCAGTTTACAGCCTTCCCAATGTCTGCAGAACTAGCCTCAGTGCTCACAACTCCCTCCTGTTGGTGCCTGCACTCCAACATCTAAGTACCAGCTTTCAAATCCCTCTTCCCACCCTGTTACCAGCACCCATGGCCAGCAGGCCCTTCACACAGATCTAAATTATAGCCCACAATTCCAAGTTTTAGAAGTTATGTCTTCTTCTCTTGATTTTCCCCAGCCTTAGAGGTGGCAGCTACCTTCTGCAGTCATTATCCCAGTACCTTCAAGTTCTCTTTTGCCTGCCCCTCTGCAGCATCTATCAGACATATCCTTGTACTTGATTCTCTTAGTTTTCCTAATGTCTGGTCCCTGACTAGAATTGATCCACCTTCTAGTCCCCTCCACCTCTGTACCTTGGTGAGGGCAGGTGTGATGAGTGTGAGCAGACTGGACTGTGCTTATAAAAGCTGTTCCTGCTGTGACCATGGGAATACTTCTGCAGGACATCTGAGGAAGGGTCAAGTAGCAGCCCCAGCCAGGCTCAGTCTTGGTCCAGGCTCAGGAGCTGGTATCAGTGATCACTTAGTGGCTGAGGGCTGGGTTCAGGCTAGGTCATGGGCCACAGTGGAGCTAGATCTAGGAACAAGGCCTGATTGACATCAGGGTGGTTCCGGAGCTGAGTTGAGGGTCAGCCTGCCCTGCTGTCTGGATAGATTCAGCTCTTCCTTATGGACCATAGTCTTGTGCCTAGTCAGCTCCATAAGATTCCTTCCCTAGGCCTGGCCCCTACATTCTGTATCTGTCAGGCCTGAGAAGGACCCGTGAGTGTCCATGGAGAGTCTGTGAATCTGAGCTGAGGTCCCCAGCTTAGCCAGTGATTCTCAAATTGTGCCCCTCTTAAAGCTCAGGGCATTAGCATCACCAGGGAAACTTGTTAGAAATGCAAATTCTCAGACCCCATTTCATCCGTCTGAATGGAAACTCTCAGAGTGGGGCCAGCACTCTGTGTATCAGTCCCTCCCTGTGGTCGGGACACAGTGACTACTGCCTGACGTTTCTTTCAGGGCCTGGGTACTAGGGTCAGAAAAGCCTGGAGCAGTCAGACAACAGGGCCCTGGGAGCAAGGTGGAGCTTTTCCATGGCCCTGCTCCAGGATGCAAACCCCACCCCACAATTAGGTGAGGAGGAGGTCTCCACTTTGTTCCAGAAAAGCCAGGCAGCCAATTAACACCTGAGCAGGATCAGGGTGGACCATATGCATGGATACCCACAGCCCCACCACAAGATCATGCAGGTTTCTGCTCCCATCCACTGCTACCGGTCTTCTTGGATACCCCATTTCCCTGCTCCTAGGCTACCCACTCACCCAGCGGGTCTGCCTTTCCATTCTTGTCTGGGACAGTGAACACCCCTACGATCTCATGGCCTTCTTTTCTCAGCTGGGAGTAAACTTCCTGGCCAAACAGGCTCTGCCCAATCACTGCAATCTTCATGGCAGCAAGCGAGGGTCAGAAGGACCTGGGGAAGGAATAAGTTTGCGGCATTAGACAGGGCTCTCTGGCCTTGAGGAAGTCAATCCTGGTCCAAGTATGGCAGTTGCACGAAGCCTCACCTGCCTGCCCCTCCCCCAACTTCTCAGCCCCTTTCTGGGGTTCCCTAGTGGCAGGCCACTGAGGGGAAACTGCCATTGTGAAAGGACCAGAGTAAATGATTCAAATGTTGGGGAGGACTTTAGATGTTACAGTGGGTGAGATGCACAGAAATTGTAGAATTAGGGACTCCTCCTTGAAACCTTTCAAATTGGCATAGAACACTGACTGTCAAGTTCCCTGAGGTATATTTGAGCATATTTCGGTAGCTAACCAGTCTGTGATCTTGGTCAAGTCACATCAAGCTCCAGTTTCCTCATTTGTTAATGATAAAGATGCCATATGCCTCAAATGACTTTCAGCCTATAAATCAAGCTTATTCCCCTGAGCCAGGAGGCAGCAAGCAGACATGGGCCTGAGGTCCTATCTACCTCAGCTTTACAGAAAAGCAGGCACAATGAACATTCATTGTGTGAATGTAAGTACATACATTTATTTATCCATTCTACTGTTGATTAGCATTTGTGTAGTTTTCCAGTTTGAGGCTATTACCAAAAGGGATGCTATAAAGATTCTGCCACATGGTTCTTACTGTATATAGGTATACATTTCTTCACCTAGGAGTGAAATTCCTGGGTAACAGGTATAAAAATGTTCCGCCTTAGCATATTCTACTAATTTTTCAAAGTTGCTATACTAATTTCCAATGCCATGTGCTCTGCACTGTGGATTTGTGCTTTTTCATTTCAGCTATTTTGCTAATATGAAATACAGACGTATCATTGGGATTTTAATGACTAATGAAGTTGAGCGGCTCTTTCTATAGTATGTTGGCAATTTGCATATCTTTTTGTGGGAATAGATCCTTTGACTCTTTTTCCTACTACTGCCACTGGGTGGTCTTTTCCTTATGATTTGCAGGAAGTTTTTGTTTTTGTTTTCTTTTGTTTTTTAAAATAACCTAGACTATGAGTCCTCAGTCAGATATATATGTATAAAAAATATCTTCAATTCAGTGGTTTTCTTTATATATATTTATTGATTTTAGAGAAAGAGACAGACGGGCAGACATCAATTGGTTGGGTCCCATATATGCCCTGATAAGAGATTGAAGCCCCAACCTTTCGGTGTATGGGACAATGTTCAAACCAACCCAGTCACACAGGCCTTAGCCTGTGGCTCTTTTTTTTTTTTTTTTTTTGACTCTCTTATGCTGCTTTGTGATAAATAGAGAAGCCCCTAAACTTAATATATAACTGTATACTTTATCAAAATTTTCATTTATAGTGAATAGTTTTTAAATTCTATTTAAGAAATCTGGAGAATAAAGATGGAGTAGGAGTGAGTGGAAGTCACACTGACCTCCTCCCAGGACCAATCTGGAATTACAACTAAATTCTGGAGAGATAACCTGGAAAAACAACTGAGCAATAGTGAGAGAGGTGCCTTACAACCTCGGACAGACAGAAGAATAAGCTTTAGCACAGCCTAACTAGTAAGGCATGCAGTAGAGACTCAAGAAGGTAGGCGGGCGCCCACGGCCAGCAGCACCAGAAGGATATTGAAACGGCCAGTTGGATCCCCCTGAGAAGAGTGGGGTCTAAACCATAAGAGCAGATCTCCATCCTACAGCACCAGAGCCTAAAAAGTACACAGATAACAGCAAGCTGTGGAAAGTGACAGGGTTGCTCTCTGCCAGAGAGAGGTGGCTAGAAATGCAAAGAGACATTTAAAAGGTCAACGCATAAATTTGTATTGGCAGTGACTTACTCTTGTCCCTGGCAAAGGAGGGTACAGAGTTGGCTAGGGATGCCTGAAGAAAGCCTGGGGAAGGAGGCTTTAGGGAGAGAACTGAGAGAGTAGATGTGGGATCCCGGTGCGGATTCCTCCCCCATATGGCAGCAGCCATCTGGCACAGGCAGACCACTCCCCTGAGCAGTAGCAGCAATGTGAGAGGACCCAATAAACCCGACCCCAGGAAGGATACTGCCCCGCCCAGTGCAAAGCCACTTGCTAAGTACAGAGTGATTATATTAAGAGGTGAGGGAGACAGCCACAGACAGCAGATTCCTGGAAGTTTTGAAAAGACTGCCTAAGGTCAGACAGGGTCAGCATCTGACATCATCAGAGGCAGATTCAAAAAGAAAAATCAGCGGTCTCCAGCCATAGAAGTTCACACCACACAGCCAGAAAATCAAGACAGATCAATTTAAGAACCAGAAGCAAAAAAGAAGAGTCTCACAAATAATGGGGAGACAAAAAAATATTTGAAGGGAAAGGAAAAATCCCCAGAAAGAGAACTAAATGAAATAGAGGCAAATAAACTATCAGATATTGAATTCAAAACAATAGTTCTAAGGAAGCTCAATGAGTTCAGTGAGCTCAGAGAGAATTACCAAAAACTACAGGGAAACTATGAGGAACTTACTGCAAACTCTATCAGCATGAACAAGGACATAGAAATTATCAATGAGGCAAGAGAAAATGAAGAATACAATTTCTGAGTTGAAGAATACAGTAGAAGGAATCTAGAGCAGGCTAGATGAAGTAGAAGATCGAATCAGCAAGCTGGAGGACAAGGTAGAAAAAAGCTCCCAGAAAGAGCAAGAAAAGGAAAAAAAGAGTAAAAAAAATGAAGAAGCATTTAAGGAAATGCAGGACAACCTGAAACATAATAATATCCATATAGTAGGGATAACGGAAGGAGAAGAAGAGAAGGAAGATATAGAGAACCTGTTTGAAAAAGTAATGATGGAAAACTTCCCTCATTTGAGGAGAGAAAAAGTCACACAAGTCTGGGAAGCACAGAATGTCTCATTCAAGGGGAAAACAATGAGGCCCACTCCAAGAAACATAATTATGAAAATGGCAAATATTAAAGACAAATAGAGAATCCTAAAGGAAGCAAGGGAGAAAGAACTTGTAACATATAAGAGAGTGCCAATATGGCTAGCATCCGACTTCTCAACAGAAACATTGCAAGCCAGAAGGGAGTGGCAAGAAATCTTCAAAGTCATGAAAAGCAATGGCCTGCAACCAAGACTGCTCTACCCAGCAAGGCTCTCAATTAAAATGGGAGGTGAAATAAGGAGTTTTCCAGACAAAAGAAGACTAAAAGAATACACCTCCATCAACCCAGCATTGCAAGAAATGCTAAAGGGAGTGCTTTAAGAAGATGAAGAAAAACAGTCTATGAATACCCAGTTCCTTTCACAGTCACCAATACTTCATATTACCAATATATTTAATACTTTTTAATCTGATTGTGACACTGTGTTATTTTAATTGTTACTTTATTATTTGTTGAAACTAAACCTGTTTGTGTACTTCTTGCATATTTCTTTTATTTTTTAGAAAGCTTTAAATGACTTTTCGGTATTCTTTATCCATTTTTTGACTAAATGTTTGTAGAATTTTTGCCCTAAAAAAAAAACAAACAAACGATTAACCCTTTTTTAAATGTGTTTCAAAGACTTTCCTATTCTATTACTTGTCCTTTAGCTTTTTCTTATATGTATATTACTATATAGTCTTAAATGTTTAAATAATCATATTGTCAATTTTTACTTTGTAGCTTCTGGGTTTGAATATTATACTTCAGGGTTAGAAATACATTATTTTGTATTTTCTCCTAAAACTCCTTAGATTTTACATATTGATGATTAACTCACCTGAATATTTCTTGTATAATGTGTGAAATAGAGCTCTATATTTGTCTTATTCCCAGTAATAACGTCCATGTGCCTTATTTGTTGAATAAGCCTTATTTTCCCCCATTGATTTAAAATATCAATTTAGTCATATATTATATTGTTAGGTAGATATATATGTTTGTTTTTAGAATGCTCATTTTATTTGATCGATCTACTTGATTATTTCAAGTGCTGGTGTCATGTTGTTTTAATTGCTGAGACTTTATAATGGATTCAAATTTTTTAATATTTTATAATGGATTTTAACATTAAAAATAAATAAATAAAATCAATCTGCATTTAAAAAATAAAAAGAAAGAAGGAACTCCTACCTTTTACAATAACATGGATGGAACTGGAGAATATTATGCTAACTGAAATAAGCCAGTTGGTGAAAGGCAAATACCATATGATCTCACCTATAAGTGGAATCTATTCAACAAAATAAATGAATGAACAAAATTAACCACAGGCATGGAAACATGAAGCAGACTGAAAGTGATCAGAAGGCATTTGGAAGGAGGACAATGATGGAAAGTAGAAGGGACTAGACAAAGAACATGTATGAATGACCCATGGACATGGACAACAGAGTGGGAATTGACTGTGGGAAAGGCGGTTGGGGTGGATGGATAGAGGAGGGCAAAGAGGGGAAAATTGAGTCAACTCTAATAGAATAAACATGATTTAAAAATAGAAAATTTTGTAAAAAGGAAAATATTTTAAAATTTTATTTTTTTGCTTTTCATATTTAAATGTGAAGTCCTTCTAAAATTTATTTTTGTGTACCATATGAGGTAGAAGTTCAGAAATATTTTTCTGTATTGATATCAAATTAACCCAGCATGTGATAACGACAAGACCTTCTTTTCTCCATTGAAAAGAAGAATGTATCAGTAAATCTATATCTAGACCTGCATTCTGTTCCATTGATCAACTTGTTTATCTTTGTATTTACTATAGCTGTTTTAGTTTTTATAGTAATAAGTTATATGACATAAAACTTGCTATTTTAACCATTTATAAGTGTACAATTCAGTGGCATTTACATTCACAGTGTTCTGTAAGCATTATAACCATGTATTTCCAAAACTATTTCAGCATCCCAAACAGAAAAATAGGGATTACACCAACTTCTCTTCAGAAACCAGGCAGATGAAAAGAGTGGAATGAAATATTTAAAGTATTGAAAGAATAATCCCATCCACCTAAAACTGGATATAATCTGTAACCAGTA